TATTTTTCTTCGAAATTAAATTATTTTTAAAAATAAAATTCTTTAGCGAAATTCAATTAATTAAAAAAATTTGTAATAAAATTCGTTCCAAAAATTCAATTATTTTCAAAAATAAATTTTTTCACGGGAATTCAATTATTTAAAATAAAATTCTATAAATTTCTTCGTCAGATTTCAATTATTTTCAATTTTTGAATGAAATTTCTCAAAAGAATTTAATTATTTTCAAAAAGTTTCTAAAAATTCTGAGAAATTTAATTATTTAAAAAAATTTTAATAAAATTCTTCATAAGAAATCAATTATTTTCAATAAATAATAATATTTTTCTTCGAAATTAAATTATTTTTAAAAATAAAATTCTTTAGCGAAATTCAATTAATTAAAAAAATTTGTAATAAAATTCGTTCCAAAAATTCAATTATTTTCAAAAATAAATTTTTTCACGGGAATTCAATTATTTAAAATAAAATTCTATAAATTTCTTCGTCAGATTTCAATTATTTTCAATTTTTGAATGAAATTTCTCAAAAGAATTTAATTATTTTCAAAAAGTTTCTAAAAATTCTGAGAAATTTAATTATTTAAAAAATTTTAATAAAATTCTTCATAAGAAATCAATTATTTTCAATAAAGAATTATATTTTTCGCCGGTATTAAATTATTTTCAGAAATAAAATTCTTCTCAGGAATTCAATTATTTAAAAAAATTTGTAATAAAATTCGTTCCGAAAATTCAATTATTTTCAAAAATAAATTTTTTCACGGGAATTTAATTATTTAAAATAAAATTCTATAAATTTCTTCGTCATATTTCAATTATTTTCAATTTTTTAATGAAATTTTTTCAAAGAATTTAATTATTTTCAAAAAGTTTCTAAAAATTCTGAGAAATTTAATTATTTAAAAAAATTTTAATAAAATTCTTCATAAGAAATCAATTATTTTCAATAAAGAATAATATTTTTCGCCGGTATTAAATTATTTTCAGAAATAAAATTCTTCTCAGGAATGCAATTCTTAAAAAAAAATTTTTAATAAAATTTGTTGCACAAATTCAATTATATTCAAAAATAAATTTTTTCACGGGAATTCAATTATTTAAAATAAAATTTTATAAATTTCTTCGTCAAATTTCAATTATTTTCAATTTTTCAATGCAATTTCTCTCAAAGAAATTTAATTATTTAAAAAAATTTTAATAAAATTCTTCATAAGAAATTAATTATTTTCAATAAAGAATAATATTTTTCTCCGGCATTCAATTATTTTCACAAATAACATTCTTCTCAGGAATTCAATTCTTAAAAAAAAATTTTAATAAAATTCGATACACAAATTCAATTATTTTCAAAAATAAATTTTTTCACGGGAATTCAATGATTAAAATAAAATTTTACAAATTTCTTCGTCAAATTTCAATTATTTTCAATTTTTCAATGCAATTTCACTCAAAGAAATTTAATTATTTTTAAAAAGTTTCTAAATTTATGAGAAATTCAATTATTTAAAATAATCGTAATATAATTTTTCATAAGAAATCAATTACCATTTTCATAAATAATAATATTTTTTTTCGGAATTCAATTAGTTTTATAAATAGAATTAAATGCATTCCTTTTGATGCAGTTTGAAAATTTTGTCTATATTTCGATAAAAATACATCCTAAAAAATTTAATCTTCAATTTAGCAGATTTCCCTATAATTTTAATTTTTAATTTTAAGTGAAAGAAAAGATAAAGAATTTAAAAATTTGCTGACGCATTGTCCTTGGATAAGTAATAAATAAAAGAAGAGTAATAAAAAAAAAGAAAAAATAATAAAAGAAAAAGAATAATTTAGAATCCAGAAAATTTAAAAAATTGAAAGTGTAAAGTTTAAGTTTTCGAGTCAAGTGTGACGAAAATAGAAAAAATAATTCCATTGTGTGATAAATTTTTTATAGAACAATATTCCGATGCCACACTCACACACAAGATAGTTTATTTTAAAGAGAAAATGCAAATCTATGACAGCGAGAGTGGAGAACATGAATAGAAACTATGTTTCAACAAACGCGGAGAATATAGTTGACTATAACGTTTATAATGTAAAGGAATATGGCGGTATGATGCCTCTATTGTCATTAAATTCTATTATTGCAAGTTCAGAGTACAAAAAATAATTTAATATTACTCAGAAGACCTTGGAATGCAATAATATTTCTCAAAGGAGATGCTTTCCTACTAATCACTTAAATAGTTTCCCTCTGATGTTCCGGCGAGCAGCTACCTCTGCATTACTTAATATTTCAAAAACTCATAAATTATTTGCGAAACACTTTAAAGAATACGAGTTATAAAAAATTAAGTGAGGAAACGATTTTTTTCCACGACAATAAAAATATCTTCAAAACATTTTATTAAGTTCACATAAATGTCAGAAATTAAATAATTTTAATGTTTCGAATTATTTTTTTTTTTGTTACTTTCTTTTTACTTTTAATTTTGACTTCAATTTTTTAGTTTTGATTTCTTACTTTTATTTTTTATAAAGCTGCAGAAATTATTAGTCTAATAAATATTTACTTACATTTACAGAATTAATTTTATATTTTCAATTTTTTACTTTCAATTTCTTACTTTTAATTTCTTATCCTATACTTTAAATTTTAATTACTGTAAAAAAGTTATTAGTCTAATAAATATTATTTAATTAAATTTACAGAATTTATTTTATATTTTCAATTTTTAACGCTCATTTTCTTATATTTTTAATTTCTTATTGCATTAAATTTTAATTACCTTAAAAAAGTTATTAGTTTAATAAATATTATGTAATACAATTTAATTTAATTTGTAAATAATTTAATTAATTATTAAGTTATTTGGAATTTTTTTCACTTTTATCGCATATTAAAAAGCTGAATAATTATTTTATGCTTTTAATAAATTGAGAATAAATTTGAGAAAATGTATAAAGAAGATTTAAATATTTAAAAATAAATTGTTTTTCAATTTATTTTAGATAAATATATTTTTAAATTTATAAAATAAATTGTTATTTTCAGTGAAATGATTCATAATTTTTGAAAATACGAATAGACAGGTTTCTAGTATTTCGAAATAATAACCTCGATAAAAGGAATACGTTTAAATAGTAATGTTTATAAAAATTGTTTTTCCAGTAAAACGAGGATTTCCTCTAAACAATTTTTTTTTTTTTTTGCTTTCTTTAATTCGATATTTCTCTTCTAAATATGTCATGAAAGACTCGGGTCAAGGCTTGTGATAAAATTTTGATACGAGAAACTCGGCATTCTTAATGAAATTAAAGCAAGACTAAAATTTTAACATTTATTTTAAATTTTAGTACGATTTCGTGGAAAAAAGGGATGGAAATTTTTCTGTAATTAATTTCAGGGTATAAACTACATAATTAATTAATTTATAGTAAATTAATCAAGCGACTCTTTTTATAAATTAGTAAATTGACAAATTTAATAAAATAATTTTCATTAATTAATTTATTTTTTGCGCAGACTTACTTAATATTTTATGTTTTATAAAATTCTTCCCGAGTTTTGCTTCATGAAAAATATTCAAAAAAAATTCTGATTGTTAAATTGTTCATAGTTTAAATTTTTTTAAACGAGAAAATAAATTTTCTTGGAATTTTAGAATTTTTAAACTTACATTTTCTTTAGTTTAGTTTTTTTTTCATATAGTTTAAGCGAAAATCAAAATTTTTAAAAATTCAGAAATTCAGAAAAAACGAGGAAAAATTTCACTTCATATTTTAATTTTTCAAAAGTTGTTGTTTTCCCTGAAAAGGACAATAAAAAAAATTTATTGACCGCGATATTTTAATGAATTTATTCCTCGCAATAAATTAATTATTATAATTTTTCAAAATTTTAACCATTTTATCGAAATTTTTTAAAATAATTGAATTTCAGAGAAAAATTTGTTTGTTTATAAAAATAATTGATTTCTTGTGAAGAACTTTATTCAAATATTTTTAAATAATTGAATTCACATAAAAAAATTTGTTATTTGTGTAAATAATAATAAAATTTTTAAAGAATTTTATTTAAATTTTTCAAAATACTTGAAATTCTTAAAACTATATTTTTTTAAGTACTCTGAATAGAATTGGGTTCTTTTGAGAAACTTCATTTAAAAAATTCAAAATAATTGAATATTGGTGCGAAGAAATTATAAAAAAATTGTAAGTAATTGAATTCCTGTGAAATTTTGATTAAATAATTGAATTCTTTTGTAATATTTTATTTAAATGGTAAATATTAAAAATAATTGAAAAGAAGTAAAATTTTTGAAAATAATTAAAATTTTACCAAGAACTTTATTAAATTCTTTGAAAATAATTAAATTTCGGTGAAGAGTTTTATTGTTTTTATAAAGATAATTAAAATTTTAACGAAAATTTTTTAAATTATGTATAAAATATTTTAATTTTTTCAAAAATTGGTTTTTTCCCTGAAAACGATAATATAATGAAATAATTATTCGCGATAATTTAATGAATTTGTTCCTCGCAATAAATTGATAAATTCTTCAATAAATATTAGTAGACTAATTGATCAGCAAATTAGGAAATTTATCCTCGCGAGTAAATTGGTGCAAATTAAGTCGGCAATAAATTAGTAAACCAATGCCTTAGTAAATTAATTAATTTTTCAATAAATCGGAGAGTACTGATACTTCAGTAATAGGTAGATTATTAAGTTAATTGCCTGTAGTAAATTAAGAAACTGATTCTTCATTCTTCAAACTGATTATTCTTGAAAAATAATGCTAAATCGATAAACTTATAGTATAGTAAACAAAATAATTGAATTCTATTTCAATTATTTGTTAGCAAATTTTTTAACAGACAAAAATGTCCAAATATATTATTTCACAACCAGCAATATACTTATTTTTCAAGCCTTGCAAAAAGTTTCAAATTTCTTATTTCACTAAAATTTTTTTTAGAAAAAAAATTTTTTCAAAAACTCACCTCGTTGCTCTTTGCATAGTACAAGGTTCTTCCCTTCAATTTAAAGTATCTTCTCTTCCATCGTTGAAAAGTCCAGGTCTGCTTCATGAGATATCCTTCCTTCGTGCAACTGATCTGAAACAAAGCAGCAAAAAAATGGTTCAGAGAATTTCAGTAGGCGAGAAAAATTAAAAGCGAACGGATGATAATGATATTTTCATCTGATAAATAATCATTCACAGATTTTCTTTTTCATTTGGAAAAACACTTTAACAAAAACAGAAAAAATCCCCCGCAGATAGTACTTTATTCCTCCTGCGAATAAAACTAAATCATATTTAATTAAGAAGATGACACTTCATCTGCGATTAAAAATCTAAAAAAATATAAAACATGGAGGAAGAAAAAATATAGAAATCAGAGGAAAATTCTCTTCATTTTTTACTTTATTAAATGTCTTTCAGTTATAATTTCTCAATCTGGAAAATTCTTATCGCGATTAACTGTCATTCTATTCAAATGAAAGCATCATATTTAAAAAGCATCTCGGTTTTCTGCTAAAATATTCGTTTTATACACCGAAAGGACTAAAGGAGTCTTTCATTAAATAGGGGAGGAAAACGAAATTTTAAATTAAATGTCCTCTTTTTTTATAATTTTAAAATTAGATATTTTTTATTTGTAATTAAATTAAATTAATTTAAATTTAAATTTAAAACAAATAATTGAGAGTCGAAGAATCGAATCGACTTTGATATACCCCTAAAGTTTTTAATTATTTTCGTTTCTAAAATTTATATTTTTTATAATTAAAAATAAAATTAAAAAAAAATTTAAAAAAATTATAAATAAAATTTTTTTCTGAAAATCAGGAAAAAGTCTAGGAAAAACGAAATCGAAATTTTTATGTCAAACTTAAGTAGGAAAGAAATAATTATTTTCTATATTTAGACAATAATTTTAAAATTAAAAAGAGAAAAATTCTCCAGAAAGAGAAAATAATTATTTATAATAAAAAATGTTTAGTGTTTTTATTTGAGAAAAAATTTAATTACAAATTTTTGTTTCTATATTATCAAAAAAATAATTATTTATACTAAAAATTTTTCATTTATAGGCGAGAAGAAAATGTAATAAAAATCTTGGTCCTCGTTATTAACAATTTAATTATACAAAAAATTTGCAATCTTTTATTCGAGAAAAAAGTTAAATAAAAATTTTTGTGCTTTACTGAAAAAAGTCATTATTTATACAAAAAATTTTCAATTTTATATTGGAGAAGAAAGTTTTGGTCCTCGTTACTAAAAAAAGTAATAATTTTTACAAATAATTTTTCATTTTCTATTGGAGAAGAAAGTTAAATAAAAATTTGGGTCCTTGTTACTAAAAAAAAAGTAATTATACACAAAAAAATTTTTAATTTTATATTGAAAAAGAAAATTAAATATAAAAATTTTTGTCCCTTTTATTAAGCAAATAATTATTTATACCTACTAAAGATTTTCAATTTTATATTGGAGAAAATTAAATAACAATTTTGGTCCTGGTTATCAAAAAGTAATTATACTAAAAAATTATTATTTTCATATTCGAGAAAAAAGTTAAATAAAAAGTTTTGTATAAAAAAAATGATTATTTTTTATTTTTGGAAAAGAATTTTAAAAGTTAAAACGAGAAAAATTCTCCAAAAAGAGAAAATATTTATTTATACTAGAAAAATTCCAGTTTTTATTCCAGAAAAAAGTTAATTAAAAATTTTTCTTTTCATTATCAAACAATATTTATTTCCATATTAAAAATTTTCCAATTTTATGCAAGAACAAAATCAAACTAAAATCTTGATATTCGTTATTAAACAAATTTCAATTTTATATTCGAGAAAAAAGGGAAATAAAAATTTTTGTCCTAGTTAGTAAAAAAACGTAATTATTTTTACTAAAAATTGACAATTTTATATTCGCGAAAAAAGTTTAATAAAACATTTGTTTCTCATTATTTAAATTAAATTCAACATTACGCGCGCTTGAACTTAGAATCTAAAAATTTCGAAAACTTATGCAAATGACGCACAATGAATAATTTATTAATGAGAAACAACAAAACAATTTAATCCAGATATTCTTGTTTTGTGATGTATTTAAAATTTCCCCCTTATTATGAATATAGTCTTCATTACCTAACACTATCCTAATTATTATAAAGAAAAAAAGATTTAAAAGACTTCATTTTATTCCACTCTCGTGGTTTAAATTCCTATTTTTAGTGCTTCGTTTGAACTACTTAATTAATTCTTTGAAAAAAAGCCACATTTTACAAAGTGATTCATTTTTTTCCAACATTTATTTATGTGCATTATATAAAAATTCGAAACAAAGTAAAAAAAATTTAAAAAAAGAAAAGAAAGAAAAAAAGCTTAATATGCTTCTTTTCGTGTATTAACTCTGAAATAAATTGATAAAAATAGAAAGAAAAAAAATTCACTGAAACGAAATTTCGATTTTACGGGTCAAATTAAATGTTAACAGACTCTTAACCAATAAAACCTTTTACCTTTAAAGTTTCGATATAATTGCTTTCTTTTTTCTCTCTCCTTTTTTTCATTCAATACTAATTCGCAATTAGAAAATGGGGGTCTGTAAATAACAAGATAATCGAAATCGATTACAAGTGAAGATGCACTTTCGTGATATTCATTATAAATTATAAAGTTTAAATTCAGGAGAGTTGGTGTTAACTTGGTCAAACTGTGTTAAATGTTAAATGTCTGTATGACAAACTATCCAACTAAGTTTCAACTTAATGAAAAACGTCCTTAAATTTGTCCTTAAAGATTAAATGTAAATATTTATCGAATCGATTCCCCTTCTTTTTGTAAATAAATTTCCTTTCAGTGACGAATTCTCAAAATAAAATTATAGGTATATAATTGACTATAATCCCTTCCTTCTTCAATATTATTTTCGGGGGAATTATTTTTAAAATTTGGATTCATTATTTGTGATTTAATTAAATTTGACCTTCAAAGAACGGTTTTCAGCGTAAGAAGGAAAAGAAAAGAAATAAAATAAAATTATTACAATAGTTACAACACTGAAATTTTCTAGAATTTTTAACTTAAATTCTTCTGTAATGCAATTATTTCAAGTAATTTTTTAATTCAATTATCTGTTTTTAAAAAAAGAAAGTTCATTTAAAATTCGCTTAAAGTTCAATTCCTTTCATTTAATTAACTGCAATTCTTTCAAATTCAATTATTTTCTAATTTTTTTTTACTGAAATTCTTCACTAAATCAATTATTTTTAGTAATATCGAGAAAGTATTTTGAGAATTCAATTATTTATTAAAAAAAGAAAGTTAATTTTAAATTCGTCGAAAATTGAATTGATTTTAATTAATTAATTATAATTCTTAAAAATTCAATTATTTTCTAGAATTTTCAACTTAAATACTTCCGCAATACAATTATTTATAGTAATTTTTTTAATTCAATTATCTATTTTAAAAAAAAGAAAGTTCATTTAAAATTCGCTTAAAGTTCAATTCCTTTCATTTAATTAACTGCAATTCTTACAAATTCAATTATTTTCTGAATTTTTTTACTGAAATTCTTCACTAAATCAATTATTTTTAGTAATTTTGAGAAAATATTTTGAGAATTCAATTATTTATTAAAAAAAGAAAGTTAATTTAAAATTCGTCGAAAATTGAATTGATTTTAATTAATTAATTATAATTCTTAAAAATTCAATTATTTTCTAGAATTTTTAACTTAAATTCTTCCGCAATACAATTATTTATAGTAATTTTTTAAATTCAATTATCTATTTTAAAAAAAAGAAATTTCACTTAAAATTCGCCTAAAGTTCAATTACTTTCAATTAATTAACTGCAATTCTTTCAAATTCAATTATTTTCTGAATTTTTTTACTGAAATTTTTAACAAAATCAATTATTTTTAGTACTTTTGAAAAAGTATTTTGAAAATTCAATTATTTGTTTAAAAAAAGAAAATAATTAATATATTAAACGAAAATTGAAAATGTTCTGATCTATGGCAATCGCATGATTAAAATGGAATAGAAAAATTTTTAATTTTCAAAATCTTTTGCCTAAAGTAATTAGAAATTTGACTTTTGAATTTTATGACATTTTTTTTTGGAAAATAATTGAATTCTTTCCAAAATTTTATAAAAATTCTACTGAAAATAAGTGAATTCATACGAAGAATTTAATTATTTATGAAAATAATTTAATCATTGTAAAAAAATTTATTATTTATAAAAATAATTTTATTCATTTTATTATTGCAAAGAAATTTATAAAAAATTTGTAAATAATTAAATTCCTGTGAAATTTTTATTTTTTATGAAAATAATTAAACATTTGCGTAAAATTTTATCAACAATTTTTTTTTAATAATTGAATTCTTTTGGAAAACTTTATTAAAATATTTATGAAAATAATTGAATTTCGGAGAAGAATTTTATTATTTATAAATATAATTGAATTTTAAAAAATTTTTTAACATAATTGAATTTCTGCGAAGAATTTTATTTCTTTAGAAAATAATTGAATTTTTGCTATTTGTAAATTCTTAAAAATTCAAATTTTTTACTGTTTTTAACTTAAATTCTTCTGTAATGCAATTATTTAAAGTAATTTTTTAAATTCAATTGTCAATTATTTTCAATTAATTGACGGCAATTCTTTGAAATTTAATTATTTTCTGAATTTTTTTTAAATGAAATTCTTCACTAAATCAATTATTTATAGTAATTTTGAAAAAGTATTTTGAAAATTCAATTATTTATTAAAAAAAAGACAGTTCATTTAAAATTTGTTTAAAGTTCAATTATTTTCAATTAATTAACGGCAATTCTTTCAAAATCAATTATTTTCTGGATTCTTTTTACTAAAATTCTTCAATAATAATCAATTATTTTTAGTAAATTTGAAAAAGTATTTTGAGAATTCAATTACTTATTAAAAAAAAAAAGTTCATTTAAAATTCGTCGAAAATTGAATTGATTTTAATTAATTATTTAGGTATAATTCTTAAAAATTCAATTATTTTCTAGAATTTTTAACCTAAATTCTCCTGAAATGCAATTATTTATAGTAATTTTTAAAATTC